ATCACCAGCCTTGGATGAGTCACCTAACCTTCTTAAAGTCTCAGTTTACTCATTTATGAATGCGGATAACTCAAACTACCTCTGATTCCATGTTAGAATTAAACGTATCCTAGTTTCACTCATATCATATGTATAAGGATCAGGCAAAAACCACGAACACCAATAGCTGGACATTCAGAAAGACCAAAAGGGATAGGGGAGAGGTATCTAAAATGGAGCTGGAGAGAGAAAGGGAGGCCACCTGATTCTAGACTAAAAATCCCCTTCAGGACCCTGCTCAGGCTTTGTTGCTCCATGTAAGAACTTTCATCTCAAAGTCTACCAGAAAAGGACTAATTTTACTTCACATCTTAACTCTTCTAAAAGGCTTGTGTACAGCAAAATGGGTAAGGATCTCATTTCTGGCTGTGCTGCTTACTAGCTGTGTTATCTTCCTGAGGTGGCTCCCAATCTGTAAACTTATTTCACTGAGCTGAATAAACTTAACATTAGCTCCTTCCCTTTGAGGCACCAGTGTTCCTAAAATTGAAAGCCAACAGAAAAATCTATAACAGAAAAGTACCCTAAAAATTCCATTGATAACATAAAGCTGCAGTTACAAAGAAAGATAAGCCCATCAGGCTTGACAATAGATTCTGGAAACCAGAGTGGTTAAGGGAAAGGAATGCTATGGAAGGTAGAAAAGAACCTGTTCCGACGCCTACGGAGCCCTCAGTAGGCTCTGAACAATGTTATCTTAGTCCTCAAACGTCTTGATAACACTCCCTTTCCCCTCCTAGGGGAAAATGATGAGGAAAAGAAAGAACCGGAAAGGAAAATAACATTTTCTGTGGACTATGCTAGATGCTTTCTACCGCATTTGATATTTACTTTGACTTCTCTGGATGAGAGTCCTAGAAAGTGACAGGATTGTAATACCAGATCTGATTCTAAAACTACTGCCTTGCAGCTCTAGGGAATAATTTACGTTTCCTCAAGACCACGGTTCTTAACAAAACTCAATCCCAGAATCTCATTTAGCTCACCCCTCCGCATACAATAGTTGGGGTTAGCAACTCACTCTGGAGTTTTTCAGTTTCATTCAGACTGAAGATTTTAAAGTGGGCACACAAGCACACAAAAAAGCACCTTTACAACTTTGCCTAGGGTCAAAAGCGTTCTTCCCCCCTTTCCAGCCCAACCACTAGGTGGCCAAGCCATAAAGAACTGCAGCTTTACAGTAGGGCTCTGGAGGGATCACCCTGGTTTAGCCACTAACTGTGTGTCCTTGGGTAAGTTACTTTACTTCTAAGTCTCAGTTTCCTTACCTGTAAAATAGGGTAACAGTTGTATCTGTCTCATTAGGTTGTGCATATTAAATAAAACGTGACATGAAAAGCAGTCAGAACAATGCCCACGCGTAGGAACAGCTTAGCAATGGATAGTTTTTAATGCTTAAGAAGAAATAGCTCTTCGCTGATGGTTCTGTCGCCAAGTCCAAAGACTTCGCCATCGTTTATCTCTGCGCACAGGCCTTGCCAGGGGAGTCCCTTCAGAGAGCAACAGGTCGCTCCTTTTCTCCTAACCGGGGCCAAGCCCACACCTGAAATCCCCAATCTACTACATATGGCCCCCAGGTCTTGGCCTGTGGTTTTCTACTACTAGGCTGTCACTCTGAGTCCAACCGAACCACCCCATTTCCGGCCGTGGCTCGGCAAGTTCTGCCGGCCTTCAGCGGCCCGGGCTGCTTACGGCATGGCTGCCCCTGGTTACGGGCCTGGAGCCGGCTCGCCTGGCGTTCCCTCACCAGAGGACTCTTACTTGCGACGCAGGCAGGATCTCCCTTGAGTTCAGAGGAGCCCCCGAATCCAGTCAAGATGCGCGTCGGTCAAACACAAGCCTGGAGAGGGCTCCCTCAACGCCGCTCCGGCCTGCCGCCGGGAGCTCGCCCCCAGCCCCGGTCTCGGCGCAGGGCCCTCGGGAACGCGTGGGCTCCGGCCCTGGGACACCACGTGGGGGCTCCAGGCGTGGCAAAGGTGCTCCCGGAACCAGCTCTCGAAGACTGCTCCCGCCAGGGCCCTAGCCCGGCCCCAAACTGGCCTGAGCGTCTCCGCCGGCCTGGCGTCTCCCCTCAAACCTATTCGGAGAGGACCTCAGACATCTCCTGCAGACCGAAGACAGGCTCCCGCTAGACCCCAAGCCCCAGGACTGCCTCAGCTCGAGTCCCCAATTGCCTGGCGTCCTTACTCACCCATCGCGGCTCCGCTCGCTCCTACTTGGCGGCGGCAGCGGCAGCGGCGGCAGCTTCAGCGGTAGCTTCAGCAGACAATATGGCGGATCTGCAGGACGGCAGCCCGAAACGGACAAACAACTTAACGTTCAACCCGGGGAAGAAACGCGCTCTCCGCCCCACAGCCTATTTTATAGGGAGGAGCGCATTTAAAGAGACCGCAGCTACTAAAGGCGGGGAATAGGGGTGAAATATAAGAGGAGTAGGGAAGAGAGACGAGGAGGGGATACTTACTAAAGAAAGTCAAGTGTGCTTAGGAATTCTCAGCTTTTTCTGCTCCTATTTCCTCTTTTATAGTGAGATCTCCTCCCCTAGAAAATTTTCTTCCTTTCGTAGTTAAAGCCAATCATAGACCCTGAGCTGGATATAGGGAATAAGGAATCCTCTCGAGAGGGGGAAGAGATTTGCTTAAGGATATGGAGATAAGGAAATAAAGGAGCTAAGAGTTAACCCGATTACAACCTTATTGGGAGATAAGAAGTGGAAAAATAACCAGACTGGTGCAAGGCTTTATAGCTGACAGAGCGATTTCGTCCTCCACCCCCACCCCTAGAAAGCTGAGGGCAGGGGTGGGTTCTGTATGACCATCACCACATCTACAGGACCTTGCACAGGACCTGGCACATGATATGTGCCAAAAAAGTAATTGTTTAGTGAATAAGCAACAAACGAATAGGCCTGTGACTTCCAGAGATTCAGGAATGATCTCCCTTTTTAGAGACGAGGAAATTGAGGCCAAGCGTTCCTGTGCCTTCTGTAACCATGGAATTTATGGCTGGTGCATATCAGACCTCCCTTTTTGCATAATGACAGGCCAGTCCTGGTCCCCCACCTCAACAAACAGGAGAGGGGTATGTCTTCAAGTCACTGGTCACACAGGGAATTGTCTTTTGGAAGCAAAATGAGGGACCTGGGTTTCCAGGTTCTGTTGGAACAAATTGCCTTCTCTAGTGTGTCTGGCCTGTGCCTGGTCCATCGAGGGAAACAACTCAAAAAATCAACTCTGGACCTCAGGGTCAGGAAAGGGAACATTATCTTTCTCTTCCTACTACCTCTGCTCAAGATCAGACCTCTTTCTTTCCTCTTGGGTCTATTTTGCCTGCTCTTCAGCGGTCTCCTGCCTCCAGGCTCCTCAGTTGTCTTTGGCAAGTCACTCCATAAAGCAGAGACCTTGTCAGGTTGTTCTTCTGCTTAGCAAGTTGTCTGCCTGCTCTTAGGTAATGCCCAAACATTTCAATCTGACACAAAGGCCAGTCCTTACTCACTTCTTGGGGATATTCCCCACCAGGCAACCCAGGGTCCATCCATATTTGGGGAACCCCCTTTCCCCATGTATGCTATCTTCTTTTCTGCCTTTGCCTGTGCTGTCTCCTCTGGAATGTAATGCCCTCCCTTCCCCCTTGATCATGGGGTGAACAAATTCATTTTCAAGACCCAATTCAACTTTCCCTTTCCTGAAAAACCCTGTTTTTCCAGGCAGTCTGGTATCTGTTCTCTCTGCTCCCCAGTTCCCTGGGCACATATTTTCCTCAGCGAAAACTTAGCATCCGAATTTCTCACAAGGTGTGTCTCTCCTGGTTGTCTAAGGGACAGCATCTTCCTCATCTTTGTATCTGTCCCTTGCCTACCATGATGCCTTCCTCCACAGAGACACCAAAACCTTTTGCTGTAGTGTCTGTCTCCCATATACCACCACAGACTCATCTGCATATCGTATGGCCAATAAGGGCTCAGTGAACACAAGCAGAGTAGTTGAGTGGCTAGGACTGTCCTTCTTTCCCAGCCTGAGCCCTCTGGCCTATATTGTAGGAACCAGGGCTCTCTCCAAGCAGCTTTGTTTCCACTGGAGCACTTGGCTTCACTGACACACCCTCCCTCCCTTGCCTAGAGCCACTGGTCCTCCCTGATCCATCACCTCCCTGCAGGCCCACCCCATTCCCACCCCATGTTCCTTATCCTTCTCTCTCTAGGAACTATTGTGCTTACCCTCCCCAAGTACACCAGGATGTTCCAAATCTCTGTGCTATTCCATGTGTCCTTTCCTCCACTTGAAGTGCCTTTCCCCCATTTTGTCCATCTAGGAAGTGGCTGACTACTCAGACTATCCCCTCCTCCAAAAAATCCAGAAAGCATTAAACATTCTCTCCTGTGTTACTCTGTATATTGTAATGGCTATACTCATCCCAGTGTAGTAGGATCCTCTGTCTCTGTTTCTGTCTCTGGGCATCCTATAGCACACTCAGCACCTGTCAGATGGCAGGGTCTCAGTGACTGTGTGCTGAGAGCATCAGGACATCACATTCTGCTAGGATAGTGGTGGTGTCCTTTGGGAGGGTTTTTTGACTGCTGTGTTGTCTTTGGCAAGTCACTATAGTTCTCTGAGCTCATTCTTCATCTACAGAATTGGAATGACAGCTTCTATCCACTAGGGTTGTCATAAAAGTTGGATTGAGACAAGGCCTATAATACACATAAGATTAATGTCTGGTACACAGCATTCAGCCATCAGTAGCTACCACTGTTACCATGACCTCTGGTGCCTCCTCTCTTCTCTACTGGAGACGGTAGGACCCACAGGGGCACCAGAAGTCACACTGGGGCTTCCTGGTCCAGAATCCTAACCTCTAACCTCTGCTCTCTGCCTAATAGGCAAGAGTAAGGGAAAGAAACAAAGGACACACAGGCTTAATGGGAGTATAAAAATAGGACTTTTTTCCCCCCTCATAATCACATCAATTATCAAAGAAACAAATAGTATGTAACAAAAATACAAAGCTCTGGTGAATTTTTTTTGTCTGTTTTTGTGGGGTTTTTTGCCCCTCACCCAACCCTCCCCAACAGCCCCTTCCCAGAGAGCCCCAGGCTGAAGCCTGGATGCTGTCCCTGGGATCACCCTGGGGCTTAGGAGAACCGGTGGTCCAGGTCCCTCTGGGGGCTGGCCGAGTAGGAGTAGGCCTTGCCCAGTACCAAGCGGTCCCGCAGCAGCTTGAAGAAGGCATAGTAGTTGCTGAAGAGGATGAGTGCCAGGGAGATCGTCTGGTGCCACTTTTCAGAAGACATTAAGGAGTACAGCTGGTAGACAATGACAGCACCCTCCAGCAGCAGAAGGATGTTGAGGATCCGCAGGGGTTTGCTGAAAAAGAACTGCCCAGGAAAGGGTAGGCAGGGATTAGAAAGAATGTTCCAGAAACCTGCCTCCTGGGTAGGGGTTGGGGGGTGGTGAAGGGGGCAGGTTCTTGGGGCCCCATGCAGATGTGGGTGGGGACTCTGCCACCCTCTCTGCTTTTGCTTGTGGTCTTTCTTCTGTCAAGACTACTGCTTCCCACAGAAGTTAAGACCCTCCTCCAGCAAGCTCTTCTTGAGAGATCTTGCTTGCTCACTCACACTTTCTCTGGTCTACAATCGACACCTTTTTATATGTGATCCTCCTGGGTACAGTCAGGTCTGAACAAATCAGAATCTTACGACATAGGTATAGAAAGTTATTAGAGACTCTACAGTCTGAGTCACCCACTTCTTCATGGGTAGCATCCCGACCTAGGCCCGAAGCTTGCAGAGCGTGTGGTGACAATTCATTCTGACCTGGTATTTACAAAGCAAGGTAGAGTGCTGGGACTCCAGAAGAATTTTTTGACCAGCTCCAAAGAGTGATTGACATCTAGAGAATCACGATTCTTCAGGGGCCAAGGTACCCAAACGTCAAGAGCTGCTTACAGGGTGGGAACAGATGAGGCAGGAAATGGGGAGTCCAAGAAACCAGCACGCCAGGCTCAGCTCTGCACCTGACAGCCTGCAGGACCCAGGGCAAACCCCTTTCCCATCTTGGCCTCAGGTTTCTCTACTGTGAGGAGAACACCCCAGATCAATGACTTCTCAAACTGTGTTCCTTGGAACCCCAGGATCTGAGGAGGCCTTTTAGGGGCCTATGACAGTGGTGAGTGGGAAGTGAAGGGAGTCCCAACCCATTCAAACAGAGCGGTGCCATCAGGTCCTATATACCTGACTTTAGTCTATGATTGTGTTGGAAAAAAGGATTTTGATAGCAAGATAAGTAAATAAAACGGAGACCACTAGCCTCGGTGATTCTGAGCAGCTCTTTCATAATGCTGAGTCCATGAATCCTTACCATCAGACCCCAAGGTTCCCAGCAAGGCACCCTTGAACAAGTCAGACCCTAACTCAATTTCAGTCTCCGAAAATGCCCTGGCACTTTTCTCACAGGCAGGCAAAGGCTGAACAGAGGGTGCCTGGCAGGTGCTTACCACTGTGCCTGGCACACCATATGGAATGAGGACAGTTAGGTTTTTACCCCTAAGAAACTCTCCTTTTATGGTATCATCTTTCCCACCTCCGCCCGTTTTCAAAGATTTGCTAGCAAGTGAGCTGCGGTTATGAAGTCACCATCTGTATGGCTGTCCTGTGCTGCACATGTGGGGTTTCCTTTGGATCTGAGAAATACTGAAAATAGCTTTCTGTTGCTAGGACATCATTCTCCTGCCCCAGGATCCTCCCCGTTTGAGATCAGGCCCCGCCCCTCCTTCCCAGGGGAGGAGACTCACGTGAAAGCGGAAGTGGGAGACGTCGGAGGGAATGGCCACGTTGTAGTGGCCCACGGCTTTGTAGACGTTCTTGCTGTGCTTCACCAGCACGCCCTGGGGCCACATGCATTCTTCCGTCCACCTGGAGGCACAGCCCAACAACAGTGCCCCTTACACCCAGCTCAGCCACAAAAAGGGGGTACCAGCAGGCTGGGTCTGGTGTGACCACCAGGGCCCTACTCCCATTTCTATCATTTAGACACAGTGACTTTCCTTTTGTAGGTCTCAGGTGCCTCCTCTGTAAAAATGGGGTAAGAATCATGAGAAATTCATGGGAGTCAGAAGTTCTAGGGTTGAGATTCATGTCTGCGGGACTGTCAAGAAATCCCTTTGCCCTACTCCTATTTCTATCATTTAGACACAGTGACTTTCCTTTTCTAGGTCTCAGGTGCCTCCTCTGTAAAAATGGGGTAAGAATCATGAGAAATTCATGGGAGTCAGAAGTTCGAGGGATGAGATTCATGTCTGCGGGACTGTGAAGAAATCCCTTTTACCTCTTTGGGTGCATTTTCTTTATTTTCTTTCCTTTCTTTCTTTTTTTTTTTTTTTAGCAAGAGAGAGAGAGAGAGTGTGAGGGGGACGGCAGAGGGAGAGAGAGAGAGAGAGAATCTTAACCAGGCTCCATGACCAGAACAGAGCCTGACATGCGGCTTGATGTCACAACCCTGAGATTGTGACCTGAGCCAATAGCAAGAGTCAATTGCTTAACCAACTGAGCCACCCAGCCACCCTTCCTTTTCTTTTTTAAAAGATTTTATTTATTTATTAGAGAGAGCACGCTCAGGGAACGGGCGAAGGGGCCGAAGAAGAAGGAGAAGCAGTCTCCCACTGAGCACAGAGCCTGACATGGAGCTCAATCCCAGGACCCTGGGATCATGACCTGGGCCAAAGACAGAAGCTTAACCATCTGAGCCCCCCAGGCGCCCCATGACTGGTCTTCGTAAAACACCAAGCTGAGCCTATTTTCTACTCAAAACCCTTCAAAGTGTTTTCAGTGCCCTTGGAATCAAGTCCCCAAGGACTCTCTCTGGCCTCTGAAGCCCTGCGTGGTCTTCCATGACTCCTGCTGCACAGACTGGGCTCAAGCCATTCCCGTCGGTTTCTAGTTCCTCCCATATGGCCTACCATTTTATGTCTGCACGTAAGTAACTCCCTCCAACTGGACTGCCCTTCCTGATGCCGTATCCTTCTGGCAAGCTCTTTCCAAACTCAGGATCCTCCAGGAAGCATTTCTCACATTCCCCACAGAGTTCAGCATCCTTCAACAAACAGCTCCCTGAATCTCCTGCTACTGGTCCACTCTCCCCAGTGTTTTGTTACTTCTTTCCCTATATCCCTCACTCGTCTGGGAGCCTTTGAGGGAAGGGACGGTGTCCATTTCATCTCTCTGTCCTCAGAGCATGGCACAAGGCCTGGCACAGAAGGGGCCTCAGTGGGCATGTGAATGGGATGGTGGGATCTTCTATTTCTGCCACATCTCTCAGGTCCTCCTGTCCTGGGCCAGAGGACAGAGAATCACTGTCTACAAAAAACTCTAACTCATGTTCCTATCTTGTTGATTCATTTAAAAACCAGTTATTGGGGGCGCCTGGGTGGCTCAGTGGGTTAAAGCTTCTGCCTTCGGCTCAGGTCATGATCTCAGGGTCCTGGGATCGAGCCCCGCATCGGGCTCTCTGCTCGGTGGGGAGCTTGCTTCCTCCTCTCTCTCTCTCTGCCTGCCTCTCTGCCTACTTGTGATCTCTCTCTGTCAAATAAAATCTTTAAAAAAAATAATAAAAAAAAATAAAAAATAAAAACCAGTTATTGGGATACCTGGGTGGCTCAGTCGGTTAAGCACATGATTCTTAGTTTCGGCTCAGGTCCTGATCTCATGGCTCATGAGAGAAATGTCAGACTCTGCACTCAGTGGGAGTCTGCTTGGATATCCTCCCCACCTTTCTCCTCCCCTGCTCATGGGCACGCTCTCTCCCTCTCTCTCTCAAATACATATATCAATCTTTTTTTTTTTAATCAAAAACTAGTTATCCTGGGCACCTGGGTGACTCAGCGGGTTAAGCCTCTGCCTTCAGCTCAGGTCATGATCTCAGGGTTCTGGGGTCGAGTCCCACCTTGGGCTCCCTGCTCGGCAGGGAGCCTGCTTCCTCCTCTCTTTATCTCTGCCTGCCTCTCTGCCTACTTGTGATCTCTCCCTGTCAAATAAATAAATAAATTCTTTAAAAAAGCAAAAAACTAGTTATCCTGTTATACCTAACAACATGGATGACCCTCACAGGGAATATGCTGAATGAAAAAGAAACTGAACCTAAGATTCCATTTATGTGAGGTTGTAGAATAGGTTAGTTTTGAAAGAAAAGTAGAAAAATTCATCTGGGTGGTGGTGGTAAGTGGGGGGTGGTCATTGGGAAGAGCCAAGAGGAAATTTTCTGAGAGGCTGTAAATATTCTACATCTTGTTCTATCTTTATGTGGGGGTACAGGTCTGCTTACACATGGGGGTACAGGTCTACCTCTACATGGGGGTACAGGACTGTCAAAACTCAAAGAATCGTACACTTTAAGATTTGTGCATTTCAGACTCTTAACTCTAGGAAACAGGGTTGCTGGAGGGTAGGCGGGTGGGGGGATGGGGTAACTGGGTGGTGGGCGTTAAGGAGGGCACTGGGTGTTAGACGCTACTGATGAATCACTAAATTCTACCTCTGGAACTAATGATACACTGTATGTTAGTTAAACTGAATTTAAATTAAATAAAAAAAGAGTTGTGCATTTCACCATACATAAATTTTATCTTAAAAAAAGACTAGACACAAACCACAAAAATTTACCACAAACCTATGATAAGCCAGGCACTCTGCCAGGAACGAGATGGGGAGCGCTTGAAGCCAAGGACCCTGACCTCCAGGAGCTTTAGTCCTGGAATAACAGGCAAGTAACTAAGCAAACAGAGCGGAAAGTATTAGGTGCAATGATTATGACATGTGATCATCCTGGGGAGCATGGGGCAGTGGGCACGGAACCCATCCTGGCTGGTGAGGAAAGTGTTCCCAGAAGAAGCGAACTGCTAAAGGAGGCATAGCAATTAATCAGGAGAAGAAAGGTGGAAAACGTGTTCCAGGCAAAAGAAGCATCATATGCCAAAGCCTGGATTCAAACATGCATACAGAATTTGAGGACCCAAAGTGACCTGGTCTGGCTAGAGTAGAGTGTAAGTGGGGAAGGATGGGAAGAGAGGAGGCAGAAAAGGCTGGCACGACCCACTTCAGCAGCTGGGAAGCCATGCGAAGAAGCCTGGATCATCTCTGCGAACCACGGTGAGCTGTGGACAGGTTTCTCCTTATGTTCACCTATATTCTACCTCTCTGCTCCTCCCTCCCCTCAGAGGCCAAAGCTAAGCTGAGTCCCCTTTAGGCCCATTTGGCAATGTCTGTCCTCTTTCTTTGACCATTTGGACCGAGCCTGGGAGGGACCCTGACTAGCATGGAGGGCTGTTTGACCCCAAAGTTTAAGCTCCTGACTACAGTTCTCTAAGTTATCTTACTTAACCTTACCCTAGGGAGAATGGTAGTAGCTTCCCCGTTTTATAGACCAGAAAGCAAAACCCCAAAAAGGCCACCTGTTTGCCAGACAGTCATGTATCACTTCCTGGAACACCAGAAAAAAGGAAGAAAAAAATTACTACTGATAAGAAAATGTAGCGTTCTTACTGGTCCTGACTCCTGGCGGCAGCCCAGGGACCCTTCTGGGGCTGTGTCTGAGGACCTGGGGAAATGGATAAGCCCCAAGCTAAAAGAAGCAATGTCTGTAAATAGCACCTACTATAATGTTCCATGGACTAGCTACTTTCCATCCATCCATCCATCCATCTATCTAAAGTGATCTCTCTGCCCAATGTGGGGCTCGAACTCACAACCCCAGATCAAGAGTCACGTGCTCTACGGACTGAGCGAGCCAGGCGTCTCTGTGGCCTCCCTTTGCATCTCTGCTTCTTGAGGGACCTACCTCTACAAACCTGTCCTAGGGGCCTCTTCTCTGCCACACCTGTGTTGGGCCCGAGGCTCAGATGTGATTCAGAAGGGCCCAGGTTGGAGGAGCTTCCAGTTTAATGGGGGAATACAGGCAGGAAAACGAGGGTAACCTGGGTGAAAAATACTGTGAGGACGGCCCCATGAAAGGTGAGCCAGGCTGAGAGGAGGCTGGGCTCCTGAGCGGGTGCTTCTGTCTCTGCGGTGCTGTCCTGCAGCCGGGTTTCCTTCTTCCCATCATATGTGTACACAGCTGTCATCCCCAGCAGACCGACCTCCTCAAGGACCTCATCTCGGTCATTCCCTCTCTGTGGCTCTGCTTCCCTGGCCAGGGTGCACCATTGACTAACACAGCACCCTATCCTCTGCCCAGACTGATGTTTCTAAGGCCCCTTGGAATGGGTTCCTCCACTGTGCAACAGCCTCCATAGCCCCCTCTGCCTATAGGTCAAGCTCCTCTGTTCAATACATAGCACCAGGCCCAGTATGGCATCGGAGGAAGTAAACGTCTGCCAGATAGGAGGTGACCTAACAATGGAATGGATCAGTGAGCAGGGAACAGAAGGAGAGAAGCAATGAATGAAGGCTAGAGTAGATCGGTCAATGAGTTGCTTAAGGACCAGTCAGTGAATGAGAAAGTTAACGAGTCTGTGAATTTACTGCTTGGTCTCCTCCCATCTCCAGCACGCTGCAAGTTACCTAAGCACCGGGGACACGTCTGCCTTGGGCCCGGCCATACCCTACCCTAGCAGCAAGGTCTGGCTTACAAGATGTGCTCTGCTGGCGGAATGCACGAGCTGGGGAGGGAGGAGTCCAGCGGCTCCACAGACATGGACCCCGAGGGCTGGGGTAGGGCAGGGCAGGGCAGGGCAGGGCAAGGGCGGGCAACTCACGGGTGCTGCAGCACGTTGGAGCACAGCGCTGGGTCCACCTTCTGCCAGCAGCCCAGGTGGGCGGCAGCCTTGTGCAGGAGGTCGCAGTAGCTGGCGGGCAGCAGGTGCTGCATGAGGATCACCGAGGTGCTAATGGACACCAGCAGGAAGAGCTCACAGGACCAGCGCTTGTCATAGTAATGCGTGTTCTGGGGGCAGTGGGAGATCGGTAAGGCCTGGGGTGTCCCCAATGGCCTCATTCCCTCCCCCTTCCCTGATTCGATCTGCCTCAGAAACCAGGGCAGCCTTCCAGGGGGCCTGAGACCAAGGATCAAACTCCTAACACAGAGGGCTTAATCACGGGCTTGGACCCTGTGCCCACAACTCCGTTCCCTACAAGCTCCTCTTTTTAGAAAAACTGCTCCCGGGACGCCTGGGTGGCTCAGTTGGTTGGACGACTGCCTTTGGCTCAGGTCATGATCCCGGGGTCCCAGGATTGAGTCCCGCATCGGGCTCCCAGCTCCATGGGGAGTCTGCTTCTCCCTCTGACCTTCTCCTCGTTCATGCTCTCTCTCACTGTCTCTCTCTCAAATAAATAAAATCTTAAAAACAAAACAAAACAAAACAAAACAAACTGCTCCCACCGCCTACCACTTGGAGCCAGTACAGGTTCTGGAGTCAAACTGACTTGAGTTCAAACCGTGGCTCTGTTGCTTATTAACTATGAGATGCTGGGCAAGTCACTGTACTTCTCTGTGCTCTTTCTCTTCCACCAAATGATAGGAACAGCTACCAAGCCTCTCTGAGCGGTGTCAGGAGGATTATCACACTCATGAAAAGCTCTAGCACGTTGTAGGTGCTCAAGAAACATTGAGTCATCTCAGCTTCACATCACTCAGCGCAGTCCAGCCTGGGAGAAATGTTTCAAGCCTACTGTCTGCTGGGGAGGTAGTTTCCCAGAAGGCCAGACAAGCTAGAGAGAAAGCATAGGCTTTTCGAGTCACTTGGGTCTGGAAGACTCCTGACTTTCCTACTTAATGAGAGAGCTAGCCATTGTGACATGCCTGGGCCCACACGGCCCTCGTGAAATACATCACTGCTTTCTGTTATCCAGTACTACGGACAACCATGTCCTGTCCCCGTCATTGGCTGGGTGACCTTGTGCAGGCTGCTCCCTCTCAGTGAGCCTTGTTCTCTCCACTCTAAAATCGAGGCAGTCGTTACTCTAGCCCTCAAGAGAACAGATGGGAATCTTATCAAAAGCAGTCCAGTTATTCACGCAAGCAGGAGGGCTCCTGGGGGGCAGGCAGCAGGGTAAGGCCCCAGGCAGGCCCCTTCCCTCCCTGGGTTGGACTACGCACCTTCACGAACCAGACAGGCACAAAGGCCACATAATAGGCGCTCAGCATGGAGCTGACCAGCACTTCCTTCATGCGCCAGTTGAAGTCCATCTTGAGGAACTCCACCTCGCTGCGGATGAGACTGGGGGACAGGCAGCAGGCGTGGGTGGGCATAGCGTCCGGCCCGTACAACTGCCGCGTGTGCTGCTTCCACGTCTCCCGCAGTGTCAGCAGGTAGTCCCGGCTCCGTGCCAGGCCACTCACTGCCTCCCGGGGACCCATGGAGGCCATGTGGCTGAAGAGATTTGTCTTGCGGAGGTCGCAGTTCAGCTGCAGGAACGGAATGTACATCCCAAACCTGCTGGGGGAGACCATGGTGAGGGGAGGCCTGCCTGTGGGCCATGATCCCAACCCGAACCCAGGGAAGGAATCTTCTTTCTTCTCTGGGCTTAAGCTCTCCCGGCTGCTCAGAGGGGAGACTGTACCCATCCTTCTATCCAACCAGACTCTGATCAGAAGATCAACCTAGGTATCAGCATGGAGTGCAGGCCGAGCATCGGGAACAAAGCAGGAAGCAGGAGATGAGGCACTGTCTCGTGGTCTGTTGCTGACTAACAGTGATCCTGACAGTGATCCCAACAGCCCACATTCACTTGGCCACACTCTGTGCTCTAGACACTGTACTAAGCGCTTTACACGTGTTCTCTGCTTTTGCTTCTCCTAAGAACACTAGGCATTCAGTACTACTATCTTGTACTACTTTGAAGGAGCTGTGGCTTGGACAGGTGAAGTGGATTCTCCAAGGTTACCCAACCAGTAGGGAAGCAATAGGGCTGGGATTCAAACCCGGAACTGTCTGGCGCCAAAGACCAAGACACATACTCAACAAATACTATGAGTGGTTAATCAATTAAAAATGTACAAGGGGTGCCTGGCTGACTCAGTCGGAAAAGGATGTGGCTCTTGATCTTGGGAGCCATGAGTTTAAGGCCCACACTGAACACAAAGCTTACATTAAAAAAAAAAAAAAAAAAATGTCCGCAGTACCACAAGAGAGGTCCCAGTTATGACAGCTGCGTCCTCAAGAGGCAACTCTTCGGCTTACAGAGGAAGGCAGCTCAGGAACAGCATCTACGGTGTGTCTATTATGTGCCAGGCACTGAAATGGGCCCTTGAACTACAGAAATCCCTTTCCCTACGTGGTACCCTTAGGGCTGGAGCTCACTAGTCAAGGGGTATTTTGACTGCATGGTTGGTATTTTTTGAGGAGAAAACTAGATGGACTCAAAGCCCAGGAAAGAAGATAATTATAAAAAGTAGTTAAAGGGCGCCTGGGTGGCTCAGTCATTAAGTGCCTGCTTTCAGCTCAGGTTAAGATCCCAGGGTGCTGGGATCGAGCCCCATGTCGGATTCCCTGCTCAGTGGGAAGCCTGCTTCTCCCTCTCCCACTCCCGCTGCTTGTGTTCTCTCTCTTGCTGTGTCTCTATCAAATAAATAAATAAAATCTTTAAAAACAAACAAACAAACAAACAAATAAATAAATAAATAAAAAGTAGTTAAGAGCCAGGGCACCTGGCTGGCTCAGTTGTTTGGACCATGTGACTCTCGACCTGGGGGTTGTGAGTTTGAGCCCCACATTGGGCAGAGAGATTACTTTAAATAAAAACAAACAAATAAATAAATAAAATTAGGGGCGAAAAAGCAGCTAATGCCCAGCACAGTCCATGGAACATTGTAGTAGGTGCTATTTACAGATGTTCCTTCTTTTAGCTTCTTTAGCTTATCCTTTTCCTAGGTCCTCAGACACAGCCCCAGAAGGGTCCCTGGGCTGCCCCCAGGAGTCAGGGCCAATGAGAACGCTACATTTTCTTATCAGTAGTAATTTTTTTCTTCCTTTTTTTCTAATGTTCCAAGAAGGGATACATGAGTGGCCTAGGGCAAACAGGTGGCCTTGTCTATAAAGCGGGGAAGCTACTACCATTCTCCCTAGAGTAAGGTTTAGTAAGATAACTTAGAGAACTGTGATCTGAAGCATAACCTTTGGTCAAATAGGCCAGGATTAAAACCCCAGCTCTGGTACTTACTAGCACAGTGATTTAGGGCAAGTTATTTAACCTCTATGAGCCTCAGTTTCCTTAATTTGCCCTAAGTTACAGAGCTCGTATGGATTCTCTATACTCAGTCAGGCATTACATGTACTGTTTTCATAAATGTTGTCTTTAAATCTTGCAACAAATCCAAGCATGGTGCTTGATCCAAATTAGAAGATCCGTAAAATTTCGTTTAGAAAAGGAGACTAGGGGTGTCTGGGTGGTTCAGTGGGTTGAAGCCTCTGCCTTCGGCTCAGGTTATGATCCCAGGGTCCTGGGATCGAGCCCCGAATCGGGCTCTCTGCTCCGTGGGGAGCCTGCTTCCTCCTCTCTCTCTGCCTGCCTCTCTGCCTACTTGCCTACTTGTGATAGATAAATAAATAGATAGATAGATAAATAAAATCTTTAAAAAAAATTAAAAAAAAAAAAAAAGAAAGAAAAGAGAGACCAGTGATTCTGTGGGACAGAAAAGAAGACTGAAATGGGATTCCCAAAACACTCTTCAGGACACCTTGTGGGAATGAAGAACTGGGGCACCTACAGGAACATACAAGGGATTCAGACCCAAACTTAAGGCCAAGTACTTAAGAATCTCCCTGGTTTTGCCTCTAAGAAGGACTGCAGATATAATTAAATTATTTGGTAACAGCAAGTGACTGCTTTGCAGGTCACAAGTTAGACGCAACTTCACACGCAAGATGGCAGATTCCCTCTCATCTTCTTCACTCAAGACGTGACAGTATAAAAGTAGAAAATAAATTAATATCAGCCAAAAGAATGGGAGGGGGGTTATCAGTTCACAAGTGATTCTGACAAATTTAGAAAGCAGATGGAAACATGTTGACAGATGAGGAAGGAAGCCATCATCTACAGCAGTGCTGTCCAAGAGAAATACAATGAGAATCACATATGTACTTTGAAATTTTCTGGTAGCCACATGAAAAAAAAAAAAAAAGGAAGTTAATTTTAATACTCTAGTTTATTTAACCCAATATATGCAAAATATTATCATTTTGACATATAATCATTACTTCCAAGTAAGATTTTTACTTTTCTTTCTTTTTTTTTTTTTTTTGAAGATTTTATTTATTTATTTTGGAGAGAGAGAGAAAGAGAGAATGAGTGTGCATGGGAGTATGTGCAAGTAGGGGGAGGAGCAGAGGGAAAGGCAGAGAATCTCAAACAGACTCCACGCTGAGCATGGATCCCCATGCAGGGCTCAATCAGGGCTCATGACCCTGAGATCATGACCTAAGCCAAAGCCAAGAGTCAGGTGTTTAACCCACTGAGCCGCCCAGACGTCCCTACTTTCTTTTTTTGTATTAAGTCTTCAGAAGCTGATGTTCATTTCACACTTACAACACACTTCAATTTAAACTAGCCTCTTTCAAATGTTCAATAACAACAGGTGGCCGGAAGCTACTTAACTAGACGGTGTAGGTCTAGCATATATTATGAGAGGGCTACACTGGGGGTAGAAACTTATCTGCCCAGTGACCCAAGAGAATGACTTGATGTAGGCATAGTTGGTAAAGGGTAGAAGCAAGCTGCAGGACTGAACAAAGGGGATTAAACAAAGATGTGTATTTATTTGTAAAAGCCAGTCCCTTTATTCTCTTACCTCATACAACCTACCCTGAAGGATTCTGACATTAAAAAATTGAATAAGCTGTCTAGGGAGAACTGTGGTCTTTAATGGGGGCACCCTAGAGTAACCCCCTCACTCTGGCTTCTGGCCTATGGGGGCCCACAACCTGACAACTAGCACGGCACTCCCTCATCCTAAAGCAAAGTCTGCCAGTCCGTGTGTCCTGCTCATGTACTTAGAATTCCTGGCAGAGGGAGAGGAAGTGTACTCCAACTACTCAGTCTTTCATTGGTCAACGTAAAGAGATAACTAAAGAAACGAACTATGCTTGGAAAACCAGCAACATGAAACAAAATCTGACCCCATGGGAAATACAAAATTGAGGGAATAGAAGAGATTTTTAAAACAAGAAAAGAATGCTATGAGAAAAGAACAATCAGAAAATAAGAGGCCTTAGAGATGAAAAATATGATTGCTGAAAAACTCAATAAAAAAGCTGGAAGATAAAGTTAAGGAAATCTCCCTAGAGGCAAAGTAAAAAGAGAGAGCGGAAAAAGAAAGAGCAGGGAGAGAGAGAGACAGAGACAGAGAGAAAGAAAGGTGGTGGGATGGGGAGGGAGAAAGGGAGAGAGATGAAAAATATGAGAAAAAATATAAGAGAAACAGATGATCAATCTATGAGTTCTACCACCTGATGAGCAGAAGCCCCATAGAGAACAGAAAAAAATAGAAAGGAAGATATTATCGAAGAAATAATAGGAGAACATTTTCCTGAAATCTTCAGGTTAAAAGAGTCCTAGAGTACTGATAGGATGAATGAAAAAAGTCCCACACCAGACACCTCTTTGTGATATCTCAATAATCAAAAGATAAACAGGGGATCTCTAAAAGTTTTCAGAAAAGAAAAAACAAGTCATCTACAGAGTACCTGGAATCAAACTGGCAGCAGACTTCTCATTAGAAACACAGGATGCTAGAGACAATGGAGTAATATCTTCAAACTTCTGAGAGGATATGAATTTGAACTCAGAAATCTACATTTAGCTGAACCACCAATCAAGCATGAGGGCAGAATAAAGACATTTTTAGACATGCAAGGCCTCAGAAAATGTTTATACCTCCCACATACCCATTGTTAAGGAAATTACCTGATAATGCACTCCAGCAAAATAAGGGAGAAAACCAAGAAAGAAGAAGACATGGGATCCAGGAAACAGTGGATCCAACCCAGGAAGGCAGCGAAGGGAAGTCCCAGGCTGAGAGCCGTACAGCAGGCCTAAAGAACCACTCCAGACTGGAGCAGGAGGATGGAGGGCTCCAGGAGGGATGTCTTTAGGGGGAAAAATGGACTCCAGGCAACAGGTAGCATGACTGAGAGGCTGGATAAACTTGAAGGTATGTTGAAGGCCCATCATTCTTTTGTCAATAAGAAAAAAGAAAGGCAATTAGAACTCCAAGAAAAAAAAAAAAGGCTGTATAAGAAAGTTACAATCTAAATACGAAGCAAACTAAAATGTGACATGATTTTAAGCAATTGATGGAATGTAAGAAAAGAGAAACCATTTGACCTTGACATGGAACTTCCTTTTTTTAAGAAGCCCAAGATTATAACTCAGTAACTATAGGGAAGGAGTATCATCTATGCACACTACTTGGTCCTGAAGTGATTGGTATTTTCATAATCATAACAACATCAAGACTACTTACTGCTTCTTGGTCTTTAGAATTAACCTTAGACAAAGAATGGAAGACTCAAATATGGTTATATAGAAGAATGTGAATGTCAAGCTTAATAATATAGAGTATAGCTGCCAGGAAGTGAGAGGAGGAAGAGAAAAGGAGGAAAAGTGGATGGGTAGAATTCCTAATATTACCATCTACGTAAAAGGGATTAAGTTACTACTGTTGAAATAAAAAGTAAAGGCATACTGATATTATTGGAAAGATAATCAATGGAGAATAATAATAACAGTCATACAATATTGGAAATAGTACGGATGGAAGAGTGAACTAAGTAAATCTTAATCTGTCATTGAGCGGAATCAATGAGTGTGTGCATGGATGTGTGTATGATATGCTTGTAATGTATAAAACAACACTTACTTCCAGGATATACGAGAAACCAGAAATACTGGTAGTTGCCTTTTGGAAAGGAAACTGGACAGCTAACAGACAGGAGCCAAGGAGAGACTTTTTCACAAAAGGCGGGGCGCCTGGGTGGCTCAGTGGGTTAAAGCCTCTGCCTTCGGCTCAGGTCATAATCCCATGGTCCTGGGATCGAGCCCCGCGTCGGGTTCTCTGCTCAGCGGGGAGCCTGCTTCCTCCTCTCTCTGCCTGCCTCTCTGCCTACTTGTGATCTCTGTCTGTCAAATAAATAAATAAAATCTTAAAAAAAAAAAAAAAAAGGTTGCCTCCAATAGGGAAAAGCTAGGAACGCCTCAAAAGGCTACCAACAGAAGACAAATACAACTGTGAGAAACCTATATAATGGAATACTATGAGGCCATTAAAAAAATGAGGGAGACCCGTATGTATTGCCATGGAAAAATACCCAGGTTATAAGATTATGTGAAAAATGTAATAAATTATACAGCATCATGCATAGATTAATCCCTTCTTTTGTTTAAAAAAAAGTGTAAGTGTGTATGCATGAATAGAAAAAATTGGGGAGGATATGCTGCAAATAATGGTTTTCTGGAGGACTGATATTATAGAGGATTTTCATTTTCTACATTAAAACTACTGTAAAGTTTAACGTGTTTGTAAGACATGTGTGTCACTCTTATAATTAAACACGAGTTATAACTGAAACAAATGTGATGGGGCTTCTCCTATGATAGCACCCTGTTGGTCATGCAGGGTAGAGAGGGCTGAGTATCTGGCTCTGAAGCTTTCCAGGACAGAGAACTGGTCCAGGTTGAGGAAACTCATGAAGCAGAAAGCCCCGGGGTTGGGCAACGTCTGTAAAATGTCCAGGCAGCCAGGAGCCTGCCCCAGGAACAGCCAGAATGGATGTCTTGCCAAAGTTCTCCCCAGTTCTAGGCCAAAAGGGTGCCGTCCTGGGCTCCTCCCAGACACTATCTTCCCGTCCTCTATAATGTGGGCTCTGGTGAGATGGAGTGAGCAAACTGACACAAACACTGACATACACACATGCATGCGCAGATACACACACGCACATGCACACACGTTTCATGCACAGACACCCACGCAGAAACCTGCACACATGCAGGTGCTTGCATGCACACAGACCGGGGTGGGCGGGGGAGGGACCGAGAGATTACATAAACACCAAGCTACAAAAAAAGACGGAGAAAGAGAAAGAACGAGAGAGAAAAGGAAAGGAGAGGGAGACAAAGCCCATGCATCCCCATCGGGAACATTCCTTTGGCATATACACTCAGATCTGAGTCCCATTCTGACCTCCCTGTTGGCGGCACCTGGGGTACATGATGCCTGCTATCTCAGTTTCTACTCCTGCAAAAGAAAGCTAATCATCTCGTTCTCAGGGTCATGCCGTCGGAAAACGTGAGAGCAGTGTTGCTGCCTTGCTGTGAGTCTGCCAGGTGTGAGGGCCTGCTGACCCAGCCACACTCAGGGCAGAGGTCGGGAGCCGGGTGCTAGGCAGTGGGGGGGTGAAGTGAGGGGTACTCACGGATAGCAGAGGAACAGGAGATTCAGGAAGGAGTAGGTCCTGAAGAGGTGGATGAGGGAGCGGCACAGACTCCAGCCTGTTGCCGTGAGAACGGTGAAGCGGGTGAGGAACAGCAGGACGGAGCGAAAGAGGGAGACCTTCCCCCTCTGAGAAGCCTGGGTCGGGGCGAGACAGGACGGGATGGGACCTTGGACAGAGGCCACCGGGGCTGGGCCCACATCCCACCCAGCCTGGCCTGTGATCCACCCCCAAGGAAACGTGGGGCAGCAAGCTGGGCAGAACCTGGCAGGGTGAATCCTTTTCCTCGATGGCCCGTAAACTCCAAGAGTGACGGGATGTAATACTCTTCCACAGGGTTCAAAGGGAGCCCCAAGGAACTGCCTTAGGCTTGAAGGGCTTGATATGTTTCCCTGGTACCCCCAGGGGTAAGGGGAATCCCAAAGTCCCCGGCCAGCCTCTGGGACCCAATCACCTCCTTCACGATGGACCCAATGAAGCGGCGGCCCAGAACGATGGTGGTCACCATCAGCAAGTTGAAGTCGATCAGGTGGAAATTCTGTCGGGGGGGGGGGTGGGCAGAGGCCGGGGGTCACATGGGCCCCCTGCCCATATACGGGCTTTTTTCATCCCCACCTCCCCCTGCCCAGTCCTTGCCACAGGGACTGTCCCCACTCTCTGACCTTCACAGGCCTCCAGCTGAGTCAGGCCAGGAAATTACCTAGAGGAGCAGAACAGGACCGAAAGAAGGGAAGTGGGACAGTCCCTGGAGATAAGAGAGTGGTGTGTGAGCCCTCTTGCTCTGATCACCCATGCCCCAGTCCCTGCACCTCTCGGCATGGTGATCTTTTCACTCGTGAAGTATTCAGTTCATGCCTGTGGCTCTTCTCCCCCACAGGACTTAAGATTTTGCGCTCTTTAGGCAGTATCTGTCAGAGTTATCTCTGCTACCTTTCAAATGCCTAATAGGATACTGAGCAATTAGGGTTGAGTGTTCAGGAGTCATTTGCTTCTTGTTCCTTCTACACTCTCCACACCCAAGTGTACAGGGCGCTTGGTAAGCTGTATTAAACTGCACTCAAACGTCTCACACACACACAGACACACACACACACACAGACACACACACACACACACACACACACACACGGCTGGTCCTAGCTGGGCACCTACCAGGGAGGTGTGGGAGGGTGGGTGGGAGGGTGGATACCACCACACTGTCTTGTAGATGTTGATATAGTGGACGAAGAGGGCTATGAGCTGGCAGAAGAAGAGTTGTAACTCAAACAGAATGCTGGCCTGGACCGGCAACTCGGGGATCCTGCAGTGCTGGAGGGGCACAACTGTCTGGGTGGCCAGTGGTGGGCTGGAGAGGCCCGTGCCGGAACTGCTCCTGGGAAGTGGGATGGGAGAAACAGCAGCGGCTGACCTGAGAACCCCACCAAGAAGGGCTTCCAGGACAGGGTGGTGGGACTGGATCAGAAAAGCAGCTCATGGCAACGAGGGAGTCCTAAACCTGCCTGTCAGACGATGGAGCCAACAGAGCCTTTTCCTATCCCTAATCTTATTCGGGCTTTCCAACATTCGCCAGGAAGGAAAGAATTATTAGATCCATTTGACAGAGGTGCCTGGCTGGCTCAGTCGTTGAGCTTCTGCCTTTGGCTCAGGTCATGATCCAGGGCCCTGGGATTGAACCCCACATCGGGCTCCTTGCTTGGAGGGAAGCCTACTTCTCCCTCTCCCATTCCCCTGCTTGTGTTCCCCCTCTCTCCCTGTGTCTCTTTTTGTCAAATAAATAAATAAATAAATAAATAAAATCTTTAAAAAAAAAAAATGATCCATTGGACAGATGAGGAAAATAAGGCCCAAAAAGGGGAAACAACTTTTTCAAGCCACCAGAAAATCAGGAGCGGGATTGTAACTAGAATCTAGGCCTCTGGTCTTATTACCCTATATCCCACTGCCTCTGCCCAAGTGACCATCCCCTGAGTGTCTTTTTGCTGCTCACTGTACTCAACCCCCACCTGACATCTGGGGTATCAAATCCTAGAGCCCGAGCCCAGTGAAGGAGAGCTTTGTTCGTACTGCCTCTGGGAGCCCAAAGTGAGGGGAAAGAGATAGAGGTGGTTTACCTGGTTCGAGAACGGACGCTAGTGACCGACGCGCTGGAAGTATGGCCCCCACCAGAGCCCCCTGAGGATCCTGGCTCACACAGAGGATTTCGACAGTAGGATGTCCTGTTGGGACCTCTTCGTCCTCCTGTGGGACTCAACATACGGTAGATCCTCAAGCCAGATGGCAGAGATCAAGGATAATAGCAATACTAGCTACTAGTTACCAGATGTCTCATTTTATCATAGCCACAGAGACCTCTGACCCAGCCCCTGCCTCCCTCTTCAGCCTCATCTCCTACCATTCTCTCCTTAAGCAAACCAAACTTGTTGCTACCTGTTGTACTTGCTGTGTCCTATACGCAAAGCCCTTACCTGACTGCCATTTTTAACGTACTCGCCCCTATAACTCTCATTTCTATTTTTTTCCCACAACAATTCACTCTTGGAATTTATCTTATTCATTTGTTAACATATTTATTGTCTGTCTTTCTCACTAGAATGGAAGGTCAGTGAGGTCATTACCCTTGTCTTTTCTACTGTTGTATCCCTTCCTTCCACCATAGTGTCCAGCATAAAGTCAGTGCCCTGTGTTTGTGGATGAGTGAAATGAGCCCAGCAAAGTAAGTCTTCCACAGATTAGGAAACTGAGTTTACACTGGGTCACAGGTAGTCTGGGGGTCTGAGGCTTGAGCTCTTAGCTTTGATATACACTGCTTCGTTCAGATACTACAAGTATCTCTCTAGGCTTACGATTCTGGACATCCTTGAAGCCCTTCCCTCCAGAGTCCGAGATCCGGCTCAATAGGTGTCTCAAGGTCAGGACCAGAGCCTGAGCATAGGGTCAAGGATGTGGGCTCTGGGAGAATGCTGTGGTTGTGGACTCAAAACCTACGTTCTCTAGGCTTAGAAGTCTAGCCCAAGCTCCCAGGCACCATCCTGCACAAAGGTCCTACACAAAGCTCCGAAGCACCACCCCAGTCCTAATCAAAGTCACAGCCTTGTTCAAACCTCCTCACTGCAACACCGCGCGGGCACCCTTGCCCTAGCTTCCCAGCTCCGCAGCTTTTCCCAAATGTCTCCAGAAAGTACTTACCCAGGAGCTCTGCACCCGACCAGCCCCAACCCAGAAGCCCTGTTCATATGCTATTATACCCTATTATACCTGGCTTAAACGTCCCACACATGCACCCTCAGTCCAAAAGCTCTACCCACACCTACTCTCCTCTTTGGAAGCTCTACACCCACATAAAGCCCCTGGGCCCAGAAGCTCCGCCTACACACCGTTGTCAGCCCAGAAAACCCGCCCACAAGCCAATAAAAGCTCGCTCCGCCCAGAAACCCCGCTCCAGAATGGGCTCCCTTGGTCGGGAAGGTCTCCTTCCCGACCCATCGCCCCCAGTGCCAAGACCCTACAGCCCAGAAAGTTAGCCCCCACACAAGCGCCAACAGCCCAGGAGCTCCGCCCTAGCACCAAGGCCCCGCCCACTGCTAAGCACGGTCCCCACTTCTAGCCCAGGTGAGCAGCTCCCCACCAAAGCCCAAGCCCCCAAAGGCCCTCTCCAATTCAGAAGTCCCGCCCCCAGTGCCAATGCCCCGCCCCCACAAGTGAGGCCCCACCCCGCAAAGCGACAGGAGGGGGCGGGGTCCCTCTGTGCCCCGCATCCCCTCCCCCTTCCCTCGCCGGAATCCTGTCCGCGTGGGGGAGCAGTCAGCATCTTGGTCATCCCGACCCCCACGCCCGCCCGTTCCCCGGCTGAGCCGGTGCCGCTCCGCTCACCCATCTCCTCCCCCCGGCGCTCTCCGCTCCGCCGCCGCAGCTCCTGCGGGCAATATGTCGGAGGCGACGGCGGCCGGGAGAGGACTAACCGCCGCAGCCCAGTCCCCGGGTATCAGCCGCGCGCTCCCGCCAGGCCGCCAAATTTGCATACAAGGCGGGCTGGAAGCTGGGGGCGCGCTTCTTAAAGGGGCCGCGCGGACAAAGGCGGTGGCTGCGCTCTCTTTGTCTCGCGGTCCCCTACGCCCTTCCTGCCGCTGCTGCTGGAGACCCCAGAGGGAGGGAAGTCACCTCCTGCTCTTCTCGTGCGTGCCTTCTCCCAGCATCTCCTCAGGCCCGAGGGAGGGGGCCGGAACCGCCTCTGGGCTCCTGCCCAAGATGAACTGTATCCAGGAGTGGCCCGCAGGCGCCTGAAACTCAACGGGTCCTAAATTGGCTTTTGTCTTTGTCTTCGGCCTTGTTTTTCTCTAGTCCCCCCTAATCAAAACCTAGGAGTCCTTTCCCTCTTTCCTTTGATTCCCCCCCGCAACCAATCTTTTACCTACTTTGGCTGACCCTAAGTCCTAAATCTTTCTCCTGTCATCACTTTAGTGCGAATCCTGATTCTGCTTGTTCTGAGCCTTGAAATCTTGTTTCTTGGTCTTTACATTGAGGCCGGTAATAGTCTCCTTGTAGGTCCTGGTGAGAGTTGAGTGAGATAACGGATGTAGAACAGGGTCTGTTTTAACAAATGTTAGCCATCATTATTAATAGGATGCATGGCCGACACCTAACACAGAGGAAGTACTCAATAAACGAGCTATTCCTACCAGCTGTTAGGACTTCTTCCCTCACAAGACCTATAAACTGTCTCAGTCACCTGGTAGTTCCTTGGCTTAGCACAGTGCTTGGCACATAATAGACATCAGTATTCAATTAATTGAATGAACGAGTAGATATTAATTAATAGATATTCACAGAGCTCGACAGTTAAGTGGGAGGAGATGGACATAAAATTAGTAAATTCTGTATTATGTTAGACAGAAATAATTGTTGTGGAGGTAAACAGGAAAGGGGGATGGGAAGTTGCAATTTTAAACAGGACAATCAGAGTAGGCTTCACTGACAAAGTGAGTTTTGACCAAACACTCGAAGGAAATGAGTCAGACATACAGATATCCAGAGAAAAGGGATATTCCAGGCAGAGGGAAAAATCAGTGGAAGGGCCTTCAGGTATGAACACAGCTAGTTTGTTTAAGAAGCAGCAAGATCCGTGTAGCTTGGCTAGAACAGACATGAGAGTGGGATATGAGAAGGGATGGACCTTACCCTGAATGAGACGGGGAACTATTGGAGGGTTTGAACTTTCATTTTTAAAGACTCACTCTGGCTGCTGGTAAGAATAGACTGTAGGGACACAATGGTGGAAGCAGGGAGACCAGACGGAGGACATAGCCATGATCGTAGCAAGAGATATTGATGGATTGTACCAGATTGAGCAAGGGAGATGTGTTGGATTCTGGATTTGAAGGTAAAGGCAATAGGATTTGTAGACAGATTGGATAGGTGTGTGGAATAAAGACAAGACTGAGTATTACTCCAAGGTTTGTAGCCTAAGCAAATGGAAATGTGTAGTTTAATTCAACACATATACATCTATTAAATTACTGGTTTTATACCAAGTCAGGCCTTCCCTTCTGGGAGAAAAGAGGCCCAGAGAGGGAGAATGACCAGCTCACAAAGTGTAGAAACCATGGCTGAGATTTCTTTTTCCGGCCAAAGAAATTCTGACAGAAGAGTGGATTCTGACCTCTGTAGAGTACTGACTTTGAAATGTATCTTGTTAATTTCTGAATTACCAAAGCCCACCACTACCGAGCATATGATAGGCCTTCAAGTGAGTATTAGTTCTGTTGTGCGGGTAGTGGCAAACTGGCTCTTAAAAGGAAAGTCATTGGGAAGGAAAACTAAATGGTTTTGGGAATATCCGTAAAAGCACGAAGCTGGGCCATTCTTGGGAACTCATTTTAACTCAGGTCAGCAAACATTGCTGAGCGTCTGTTATACAGCAGGTAATACAGATGCTGACGTGCAACTCATCACTGGGAGAGACAGAGGAGAATCAATAAATTATGGCACAGCATGGTAACAGTAGCAGTATGTACCAAGTCTGGAGGTGGACGGAAGGTGAGTAACTCTGACCGGGGAGGTAGTCCAGAGAAGGTTTCATGAAAGATGACATCAGAGCTGGTTTCTGAAAGAGGAGTAAGAGTTGCCCTGTTATGCTCCTATGGGAAGTGCTTGGCACATAATAGACATCAGTATTCAATTAATTGAATGCAATAGCTCGGGTCTGGTAATTGTCTTACAGGGGCTGGTGGCAGAGGCATGCTTGCTGTCCGTCTATTGTGTGGAAGGGTGCTGGACCTTGTACAGGGCAAATACTCAGGAAATGTTTGCTTAACTGATTTGAGGGCATTCATACAACCCAGTGACCCAGTGTAAGAGAGTAAAGCCACTCAGATGGACTGCTGTGCATGTAACCCCTAGACAGGGGCTCCTGCCCATCTTGAACAGGTTGATTTTGCCTGCCCAACATCCATTCTCCCTGCTGATTAGAATGTTTCAATTTTCCCTTGGGGAACTACTCTCCCTCCCATGCTCTCAGTCCACAGGGGGATCTGGTGGAGCTGCCTTACTCTGCAGTTCCGGTGTGGGCAGGTAACCTTGGCCTGGTGAATCAAAGCATTCCATCCCTGCCATTCCAGGCTTCAGTGACTGGTTTTGGGGGTGGGGGCTTAGTGACACTAGTCAGGCCAAATAAGATGCGATGCAATCCTAGGATCTTTGTTAGAACAGTTGGGAAATAATTTCCTCCCCTCTGGGATGGCTAAGCAAGCAAGATATAAGCGCTTGTGGTGGCTATGTTGCCACCTTTTAGGGAGGTAGAACTTAGACAATGAAGGAAATACAGAAAAGTAAAAAAATCAGTAGACACTGTCTTGATAGCATCATTTGAAACCCTGGATCCAGCCATACCTGAATCCTTTGTGGACCTAAAAAAATATATTTATTTACTTATTTTTGCAGGGGATGGGAGAAGCAGAGGGAGAGAGCGAGTCCTAAGCAGACTCACAAGTGAACCTGGAGCCAACAGTGGGCTCAATCCCATGACCCCGAGACGATGACCTGAACTGAAATCAAAGAGTGGGACCCTTAATTGACTGAGCCACCCAGGCACAACTGGACTTTTTCTATTACAACAAGCCAGTTTGTGTTTGGTGTCTGATGACTGCAACTGAAATAATCCAGAACAATGTACACTTCTATCCCAGTATCCAGCAGAAATATCTAGGGTCCTAGTTTTTTCACATCTGCTTTTGACAGGATCCCTGGGGAAGACAACCAGAAGATGGCAGGATGTTTGTTAGGTTCTTGTTTTCCAGATCTGTGGCCTCATGTCTTAGCTGTTTTATGACCTTGGAGCCCTCCCTTCCTTTCTTTGCATCTTTATTTCCTAACTAACTTGCTCTCTATTGGTTCTTCTAGGAGTCTGAATTTTTGAGGAAATGCCACTGGCTCTGGGCCAGCCCTGTGTCATCGGGTTGGGATCTCTTCCTTAGTCCTGTTATTCTGGGGCCACGGCTGGCAATTCTGTCCTCTATCAGTAGTTTTCTACCAGAATTCGGAGACCTCTAGTGGCACCTAGTGGGGGGTGCTGAAACCACGGGATAAAACACATACTGCTTTCTGGAGTGTCAGTTTTATTCATTAAAATGAGAGGCAGTATTTTCAACATTTAAGTGTCATTATTCAGAGCACTTTCTCTGTGCCAGCCTTAGAATCAAATCCTGGCTCCACCACTTATAAGCTTCCTGACCTTGGGGAGTTGCTTAACCTCCTTGTGCCTTAGTTTTCTCAGTATCAAGAGAGGGTAGTATTAGTACCTGTCTTAGGAGATCATGGTGAAGATTAGTCTGTGGAAAGTACTTAGAACAGGGCCTGGTACACAGTAAGTGCTATTTAAGTTTTAGTTACTATAATTGTAACACAGATCTATCATGAAGTACAAAGAAAACTAATGTGAATTTAGGACTGAAGTCGTTGGGGCACCTGGGTGGCTCAGTGGGTTAAGCCTCTGCCTTTGGCTCGGGTCATGATCTTGGGGTCCTGGGATTGAGCCCCACATCGGGCTCTCTGCTCAGTGGGGAGCCTGTCCCCCCCACCGTCTGCCTCCCTGCTTACTTGTGATCTCTGTCAAATAAGTAAAATCTTAAAAAATATATATAAATAAGTAAATAAGTAAAATCTTAAAAAAAAAAAAAAGATTGAAGTCATTGAAGAAATGTCATCTGTAGCTTCCAGACTCACAGGGCTTTGCTCTTTCTTCTGCCAGCAAGCATACTTACACCTGATTTTTATTACACGTGCCAAAAGAAAATCCGTGTGTCTTCATGTTCTTCTAATTTCCTGAGTCATTCTTACTTCCACGTGTACGTTAGTCTCCCCGTCTATCTTTCCCCATCTTGGGGCCATCCTCCCCACCTGTATGCATCTGGACGTTCGTCTTCCCATGTCTTATAGTATTTAATTATTATAAAGATAGTAAGTGTAAGCTTTAGAATATACTGTACTTCTTGTTAGGTGTTCAAAAACGAACAGGATTTGGGTAGGTAATGTACTTGGGCAGGGATGGAGTGGGCAATGAAGATACAGAGAACAGCATGAGCAAAGACCCAGGGGCAAGCTATGTTCTGGGAGAGCAAGTCCACTTCGGCTTGAGAGCAATTGGAGATGGGGTTGTAAAAAATAGGTTAAGTTCTTGAATGCTACATATAGTGAAGAGTTTGGACTTGATTACACTTTTCTAAGCCTGTTTCCTCAGTAAAATTAGGATGATTCCTGTCATTGAATTGTGATTAATGACAGAGGCAAGCAGGTGGGAGAGACAGCCTATGTAAAAATGGAATGAGGGGCACCTGGGTGACTCAGTCGGTTAGGTGTCTGACTTTTTTTTTTTTTTTTAAAGATTTTATTTATTTACTTGACAGAGAGAGACCACAAGTAGACAGAGAGGCAGGCAGAGAGAGAGGAAAGCAGGGTCCCTGCTGAGCAGAGAGCCTGATGCGGGGCTCGATCCCAGGACCCTGAGATCATGACCTGAGCCGAAGGCAGCAGCTTAACCCACTGAGCCACCCAGGCGCCCAGGTGTCTGACTCTTGATGTCAGCTCCCGTCATGATCTCAGGGTTGTGACATCAAGCCCCAATTTGGGCTCTGCACTGGGTGTGGAACCTGTTTAGGACTTTTTTTCTCTCTCCCTCTGCCCCCACCCCCACGATCTCTCTTTTAAAACAAAACAGAACAAAACAAAATGGAATGATTGTCATTAGGAATGGGGACAAGGATTCTTCTTTCCTTGGCAAAGCAAACCAGCCAGCCTCTCAGGGTGGCCTGCAATTTAGTCTCTTTTGAGATTTTCCTGCAATGCACATCTCAACCACCAGAGGGAGCTTGGTACAAAGGAATCGGAGCTCTGAGCTCAACAGGAAAATTGTGGTGGGCCCGGTTGGGCAGGGGATGTGGAATCCTGGACCCAAACCAGAGTCTTAATGGTATGAATGGGGCATGGACCCAGGTGCCCCCTCTCTGGCTCTCTTTTATTAGACCCATCCCAAGATGGGGTGAGGCATGCTGCCACAACCTAGCATTTAGATCTAAGATTTAAGATCTCTAGGACGGGGGGTAGAGGATGAGGGCCAGATCTAATCTTGGGGGATCTGAGTTTCTGCATCTCAAGCAAAAAAAGGCTTTCACCAACTCTGCTCGTAAGTCACTGGGCCCAACCCCATACTAGAACACCCCGTGCCAGGCCGGGGAGTCCTGCTAGAACTGGGAACCGTAGAAAAGTAACCAGGGCTACAGCCTGAAGAAGGGGATGGGAGAGGCAGGGCTCTATCTGACAGTCTTTGGAGCGGCATCCACATTGCCCTGGGACTCCAGCTGTTGGGTCTATCAGAAACGGTTATGGGGCTGAGCTTCTCCAGTCACAACTAACCTGGTATTTCATAGGATTTTTGTAAAACCTCCTTTGCTTTGTCTTCTCTGCTTACTGGCACCGAGTTAAGCAGGGACTTTCCTGATACGGATGTTCAAATGAAGGCCCAGAGACACTTAGCAATTTACCCAAGATCATGTAGCCCTCAAGGGCAGAGCTGGCCCTGGAAGGAGTAGGAGCGACTCTGAGGGGCCCAGGGAAGGGAAGGCAGGCAGACAGAGCAACAGCCTTCAGAACGGTAGCAGCAAAAGCACTGGCTCTCGGCCAGATTTCATAGCCACCCTTCCAGAGCCGGCTCTGCTGCTGGGCCCCAGGCTGCCAGCCCTGCCTCCACACTCCCACCCCAGTCCCCCAAGAGCCCATCACCCTGGCAACAGCCAGAGAAAGGCCCAGCTAAAATAT